AAATTTGTTTTATAGAAAAGTTTGAGTTACAACTCTGTTTTCAACTTAACAATTCAAAAATCAGTGATCCGTTATCTATCGATATGTCGGTAATTTGAAATCAGGAATTGATAATTCAGAAATAGGTATGTTTAATCTGAAAACTCCATACGGATTCAGTAACCGTGATTTTAGATTAAGCATACCTGTTTCTGAATTAAGCTTAATCTGAAATCACGGTTACTGCATCCGTAACCGTGATTTTAGATTAAGCATACCTATTTCGGAATTATCAATTCCTGATTTCAGATTATCAATATATCTATTTTAAAATTATAAGTTCCTTACTCTGCCGTTAGGCAGTCAATGTCTCGCTGTGGCTGTTAGTTCTTCTTTTGATCTTGAGGAAGCAACATACGCGCAGTGTTGTTTACTTCCAGAAGATTGATTTTACGCGTTTCTTTTCGCGAACTCATCGTCGAGTTTCGTTTGTTATATCGTTTTCTCGCGAACAGGTCATTGTCGAGCTTGTTTATATCGCATATTATATTTGTGATTTGTGTTACGTGGCCTGTGATATATGGATCAATATACGAAGGATTTATTGACTGCGTGGGGATTCGCTGATTTTATCCCACGATTTGAAGGTAAGTGGTTAACCAAAAAAACTTTTGTATTTTTGTTTTATTAATTAAAATTTAACTAAGATTACCTACGGTTATTTTTTTTTTTTTATAAATGATGCAGTCGCTTCTTTGAGAAAATTTGGTAACCGTGGTTTCAGATTAAACATACCTATTTCTGAATTATCAATTTCTGAATTCAGAAATAGGTATGCTTAATCTGTAATCAGTGTTACGGATTCCTTAATCGTGATTACAGATTAAACCGATCACACCAGTAAAAATTTTTCTAGAGTATGTCAAATAATCGCGAAAATCGAGGTTGTTAAGGATCGAACATATTCTCGATGTAATCGGGCCGTGAGGCTAACTGCTACGTGCCTGCTGTCAGTCTCGTGGTACCAATTCGATCTGCACGGGGTTGTCGATCACGCCGCCCCGCGCACTGGTCGATCACGCGTCGATGCTGCCCCACGTATCGGAGCACGGCGCAACTCCGTGGAAAAAAAAATACAATCTTTGATAGCGATTATCTCGCGTTCGGGACAGTCAATTACTTTTAATTTGTACAGACGTGTAGATACCACATTTATTAACATACAGTAAAATTTTCAAATTATTAATATTATATTTTTTTCTTATGAATTGCGATTCACGGACTAACTATCTTAAAGTGCTTACAAATGTATCTTTATGTGAAAATTTTTGACAAGGTTTTAATACATATATAAGAATGTCTTTGCATGCAAAATAACAAAGAGTTTGGAATTTAGTGGAGTATGGAAGAAGCTGAGACTGCGTTGAAACTCGCATGATACATTTGTAAATTATTTTTAAGTAAATATTATATGGAAAACTGCCCATTGTTGAAAGTCTTAGGGTAAAATTTTTGGAAAATTAAATACTATATCTCTTTTAGAAATATACATATTGCACAGGATCGCATGTCAGCATTTCCGAAAAATTTCAAGTTTCTCCGACCATACTCTCTAAACTCTCTAACTACTCTTCGCAATGTTTTTATAAAAGTTTCTGATTTTTTTTATTTAATAATTGTGCCGAGCAACTTTTTTCAAAATAACACCCTTATTTCTAGGAATCGCTGATGTCTCTATCACTCACAAATTTTCAAAAACAAAAATCCTCTACATAAATAAAAAAAATTTTTACTTAAAAAAAAGCACAATCTTACACATTCGCAGCACTAATATGTTTATTTTATTTTATATTTAGAGGAAACTATTGATGCTCGCACTCTGAGAGGCTTAAACGAAAACGAAATAATTCAACTCATTCCAAATATTGGGATGAGAAGTAGATTTCGAAATTTACTCGAGTCATGGAAGGCAGATATAAACAGTGCTGATTTGCCTGCAGATCAAAATGCATCTGTTAGTAGCTTCTTTATTTACTCATTTACTAATATGCATGTAAAGCTTTGGGTAGGAATGGTGTAACCTCGTTACCTAGTCAAAATAATGATTTACTATTATTTATAATTTTATTGGTAATATTTATAATTTTATTGGTAAACACGTGGTGAATTCGCTCACTTTTATAATTTTTACTAAGTTCTGTAAACATATTTTAATTCATCGATTAATTGTGATTTTGTAGCCATTTTTCACTGATTCAGATGCAAATACACCTTCTGGTGTATATTTTATTATTAATTTTAATTTTAATATTTTAATTTAAATATTAAGATTTAATATTTTATTTTTTTATCATATTTTTTTTACATATTACATATAATAAATATAATCTTTTTAAAGGTTTTTGGGATCCGGAGTTTCCGGATGAGACATTATCATACACTTACTGACAAAATCTGATTCTCAAGGCTTCATTGCGACTCGTGGTACATAACTCATTCATTTTGACATCATAATCTTCATCAATTTGATGTCACTTTGACATCATTTTGACTAGGTTGTTTTCACCGGATAGTAGATTTTTATTTCAAGTCGTGGAAACATATTCCCTACTCATTAACAGTTACTCATTAATACAGTTCATAAAATTTGTTGATTTGAATTAATAACACTATGTTTGATGTTTTCCTATCTGGCTCTTTTTTTTCAATTTCTATTCATTGTAACGTTTCAATTAATCTTTCCCTGCATTTTCCAATAGCTTAGTAACCTCCTCGAAGAGGCAGAAAGGAACGAGCCCTCGGTCTCAGGGGTACAAAGAACAAGCGTACCTGAAGAATTTCCTCCCGGCATTGTAAGTATCTGATTTAAGCGATGCTGTTGTAATCCACTCGGCAAGCATTTTTAATGTAATTTCTCTCTTTCCAGTGTCGCGATTATCTTCTAAAAACCCAATTAGGGAGATCGCTTTTGGCGAAAGCTAAGGAGCAAGAGATTGTTGAGGAGGACAGAAAAAATGCCAACGTTTTGGTAATCGATGGCATTTTAGAAGAAGAGCCTTCAAGACTTATTCAATCCAACGTGTTCCAGCGCCTGGCCAACGAGCTGTGCGAGATATTCCCAGGAACGTCTCCTGCGTCTTTCTTTCTGACGTTTTTGCCGAAGACGCCATTTCAACACCAGAGAAACTTATCAGGGCCTCTCTATAAAGCCTATGTAAAGAAAAGGGATAAGTTTCGAAAGAGTGGCGTGTTGCCGCCTTCATCAAGATCGGCGTCTTCCAGCCGGTCTTCCAGCAAATCAACACCCACGTCGGGTAGGAGTTCTTTGAAGAGAGCAGAGGCTCCGGACCCTACGTCATGTGAGTATACATAACTTATGACATCAGTCCTGCTAGGCTAGAGGTACTAGTTAATTAACTTGGAATTGTCCTAATTGTTTAAACTTATAATTCTCGCATCGTTTTCAGACACAGAAGAGACCAGGACAGCCTTAAACTTTTTAGAAACCAACGTCCACCCCTGGAAACCGGTGGAGGATTTTTGGCGAGCCACAGAAAAAGAGCGGAAGAGTATTCTTGCCGATGAGGGAATATTCAACTATTTCCTGAAATTTCCAGCTCTGCGAATTCAGGAAGGATACAGACTGGTAAGTATTTGTTGTACAGACATTAATATTGCGGTAGAAGCACGGTAATTTTGTTGACTTAAGACAGCATTTAGTAAACACAAGCATAATATATCACTGAACTCCAATCTTATGGAAATTGGACTTTACATGATGTGAACATAGTGCTTGTGTTTGTTAAACGAAGTTAACACAATAGTTTAAAAATTTTTTTCTTTTTACAGCTCTTAGACGATTTCACCAGAGAGTTTCCCGGAAAGGAGAACAATCTCTTCGCCAATATTGCTCTGGCAAAAGATAAAATAATAAAATTAGCCAAACTCAAGTTAGTGAAACTCTCCGATAAAAAGCTGAAGGAAAGCTACGAGCGCGTTCTGGAGAGTGCAAAAGGTGAGTCACATGATTCTTGATGTGCTTAATTAAGAGGCATTTTTACCACCCTGAATCAATCTTAATTTTTTGGAATATTAATCATTTTTAAAACGATACCTTTCCATATTTTTTCTAATGCTTGTTGGTTACACTTTGCCTTAAAATCCATTTTTACTTTGTGTTTTTTAACATTTTGTGCAGTTTTCACTTCAACCATATTTCTGCTACTACACTAATACTTCGAAACTTGTGTTACTTATTTTGTTTGTGTTTCTTTTCAGGGGAGGACCCGACAATTCGGAATGATGCACTTATCCTCCTACTGCCCCTTATTACCCCGCCGCCCGGGAACGTAGGCGGGAAGAGCGGCGCTAAAAAGACGGCAACGAAGCCGACAAACGTTGAGATCAGGGATCACTTCGTAACACTGATACACAACGACGCGCACATTCAGGAAGCAGTAAACCTAAGGAAGGAGGCTCTCCAATCAGGAGGTGAAACATTTCAGCCGTGTGTATTTGCCACGGGGGAATGGAAAGTGATTAACTCTGCATAGGTTGTCGTCGATGAAACATTTTACAAATTTAATTCACTGATTGAGGCAATTGACGTAGCCTTTAAGATAATTTACGCTCTGCAAGCAGAGTTTCCCTTGAAAGCCAAGTCTGTTTGGAAGGTATTGTCATTAGCTTTCTACGACATTGGAGACAGGAAAAGGGTAACAGCAGGTATTTCTCAACTCCTGACAGATTTGGGTGTTAGTAATAAGGAGCCAGTAGCTGGGCCGTCATCTTCAATCTCTGCCTCAGCTGTCATTACTCAAAGTCAGCAGTCCCTTTCCGACACACTATCCCGCCCATTGTCATCGAACAACCAATTGTTTCCTTTCGAAACACAACCCCTTTTTCAAGCTTCCTCGCTGGAGGTTAATGATTCTTTACCAGAGGATTTTCTATTGGACCCAAACGCCCATCTCACTCAATTATAATAAGATAAGAGCAGTTATATAACAAGTTATAATAAGATAAGTTATAATAAGATAAGTTATAATAAGAGTTATAATAAGTTCCTTTAAAAATGTTTGTTTGCTTTTCGTGCAAAAAAAATTACTCTGATTGCTTAAAGCTTATTAACCACATCCGAAAGTTTTGTCCCTCCGACAGAGGTTATTATTGTGGTCAGGCAAAATGTTTGCGGCACTACGGCACCCTTCGCAGTCTCAGAAAGCATTTACAAAAAGCTCATAAAGTGAATACCGAGAGAAGTGATCCCGATACCACTAGTTTTCCAGATTTAAGTGTCGATATTGTCAATAATGATTTACATTTACCTTTCTCTTCACCTTCCTCTCCACAAGAAAGTGTTGTTCTGGCTTTTGATTTTCTTCAAACTCAAATATCCCTGTTCTTGTCCTCTCTTTATGGAAATGTGTTAATACCCAGGAATGTGGTCCAGCTAGTTGTAGACGAACTGCATAATATATTGTCGATTGATCTCGAGGAGGCAATTTTCATGAAGTTGAAAGAACTGTTGTCTCCGGACATTTACCACCAGGTGGCAAGCCTTGTTAAACCATCGGACCTTCTTATTCCCGATTCCTTGCAAAGTTTTGCGTCGGATTTTCGGCGCCTCGGTTACTACCAACAAGTAGGGACTCTTGTCCAATCCACTGAAGTCACCATTGGCGAAAGGTTGGAGGGAAAGCGAACGATTTTCGGATTTTCAACAGTCCCTGTTAAGTGCACAATGCAGGTTGTAGAGTTAGGTACAGTGTTAAAAAATTTTTTCTCTTTACCCAACGTTCTCAAGGAGACGTTAGATTACCAGGTTCTAATGAATCAGACCAGTGGTGAATCAGGCATTAAGAATATTGTTCAAGGTTCTGTTTGGACATCAATGAGAAAGACGTTCAAAAACGAGGTAGGCTTGCATTTTCCAATTGTTATATACTGGGACGATTTCGAAATTGGGAACCCATTAGGAGCCCAAGCCGGTGTTCATAAGCTGGGTGCAGTTTATGCATCGTTACCTTTTCTGCCTCCACACTTTGTAAGTAATTTAAAAAACATATTTCTTTTTGCTCTGTTTCATTCATCCGATAGGGTTAAATTCGGTAATGCTGTTATTTTTAGTAAGGTCATTGATTGCTTAAATGACCTTTCTAAAAATGGCATCATCGTTGAAACAGAGACGTACAATGGTGTGATAAAATTTCACTTGTGTGCTTTCGTTGGAGATAACTTGGCTCTATCCGGAATTCTTGGTTTCACAGAATCGTTCTCTTCCAAATATCCTTGTAGGATATGTCGTATAGATAAAGACGGCCTTCAAAAATTAATGAGGGAAGATGTTAACTTGTTGAGAAACATGGACTCTTATGCATCTGATGTCGCAATATGTGATTTGTCTAAGACGGGTATAAAGGAGAAATGTTGTTTGTTAGAAGTCGAGGGGTTTAACATTTTCGAAAATGTGTCCACTGATATTTTGCATGATTGATATGGGAGTTTGCCAATATTCTATGAAATTTATACTTTTCTCCCTTATTAAAACCTACAAACTTATACCTTTGCCTTTGCTGAGAACCAAGTTAAATGCATTTGATTACGGTTGTGATAGCATCTCAAAGCCATCTGCCACCATCTCCATTGAGGGTCAGCAAGTTAAATATAAGACGTCTGCTTCTCAAATGTTGACATTAGTGCGATATTTCGGATTAATTGTTGGCTCGTATGTGCCTGAGGATCACCCTGTATGGAATTTTTTCTTGTTGCTCAGGCGGATCAATGACAGGTTGGTAAATCGTAGGGTTTACTCTGACTCATGTGACGCGTTGGCTTATGATATTGAAGAAATTAACCGGCAATATCTGAAGCTCTCGAATTACACATTAAAGCCTAAGTTCCATTTCATGATTCACTACCCCCGAATGATGAAAAAGTTTGGTCCTCTCGCGAACTTGTCGACATTCAGGTTTGAAGCGAGGCACAGATTCGCGAAGATGGCAGCGCATACTGTTGCTGGCAGAGTAAATATTTGCAAAACTATAGCATTAAAAAATCAATTGATGCTAAACGAGGTTTTTCTGAAGCAACAAAAGTTTAACAGATTTGTATGGGGTAAAAGAAAAACTGTCTCTGATGAGGAAATTTCAGCTCTTCGCGGTATATGGGATACTCTGCCTGCAGAAAACAATCTTATTGCTGTGTCTTGGGTAAAAATTGACGGGATTTTTTTCAAACCTTCCTACAATGTAACTGTTGAATTATCAGAGGAGAATGACTATTTACCGAAGTTTGCTGAAGTTGAAAATATTTATGTCATGGACAATCAAGTGTATTTTATTTGCCGCTTGTTCAAGACATTGACATTCAATGAGCATTACTATGCTTATGAAGTGTTAAGAACTGACGAAAAAAATGTTTTATCCTATCAGGATCTTGTTGCTCCTTTGCCTAATACATTAACAATATTACCCTCGCCACTGCAATTGTATGTAACTTTAAGATATCCTTTGGATTAGACTTTGATACTACAAATGCTTGGAAGCGTTCTTCCTCTCTTTTTCTCTTCATTGAGAAGAAAGAGAAAAAGAATGCTTCAAAACATTTGTAACGCCAAAAGAACCGCAACCTTTGTATAATAAATGTATTATTTATTTTGGATAAAAGATGCAAATTTTAATTTTTTATCTTTTATTGTATGTAAATTTAAGATATCTTTTGTATTTGATTTTATATGATAAAATGTATAAACTTGTGTAATAAACGTATCATTAATAAATGGGTTGGATAAAAGATGCAAGTTTTAAATTTTTATTACCCGTAAAGGAGGAAAGGTGTTAGGTCTTAAGAAATTTAGCTTGTATATTATGTGTTGTTTTTATTATATGTATTGTTGCTTTTGGATGTGGGTGGGTGGATATTCAATGTAACATTAAAAAAGGAATGGTTTTTGACTGAGATTCGAACTTGTATAATTTACATCTTCTGTTTCAGTTTCTCAC